CGTCGCCGTCGTCCTTCGTCGATGGTCGCTCATTGTCGCTCGTCGTCGTCGGCATCGAAGACCCCTAAGAAGAGTGCCAAGAGGACCCCAGGAGGCAATTTTCGGGCTCCACGAGGGGCCATTGGTAGCGCTTCGAATAGAATGTCTGCAATCTTACAAAAATTAAAATGACCAGTCTTGGCCCTCTTGGAATTGTTGATGGGTAATGATGCCTGCTGCCCCGTCGGTTCTGAATTGGTGGTATGATCGTCCCGTGGATGGACGCTACCATGTTTGAAAAATATATAAGCCAAATACAACTTGTTCATCGCGCTCTTCGTGACGACGCCACGCGGGCATGCGATTTAAACAGTGTGTGCGAAGCTGCGTGCGATGCGTCACTTCTGCCAACGCAAAGCTTCGGTTGGCGAATCCGTTCCTCACTGCCCCGCTCGGTGGGGGCAACGGATTCGTCGACCATCGCAACAAGTAGATTGTGTCCCCATTGCCGTCGTCATAGTTGTATCTCGTTCACTGCCATGATCGTCGTCCTCATCTACAAATGCCGTCGTCGCCATCATGAACACGGCCAACGCTCGAACGAATCCAATATTAAGTTCGGACCACGCGATCTCAAGACCATGTTTAAACCACGAATTGCGACCTCAAATTGGGAAAAGAACATTGGAACGCCGCCAATAAAAATTGGCGACGTCATTTCCCGTGGGGAAGTGACTGCCGCTGCGTAGCACGTCGGCACGCCCACGGAAAAAATGCCCGAACCGGAGGTCAACTCGAATCGGTCGTGCCCGAAACTTCGGAGTCGAAGTTCGCACGGAGGAGAGGTACAATTACTCGCGGTGCGTTCAGAACGAGGCCTGGACACTCCAAGCGTATCCTCACGGTGTCCACGCGAGTGCGTCCGTTCTCGCGGCAGTCGACGACCTGCGCCGGCCTTCGAACCAAACGACTGGCAACAACTCGCCAGCCCAACGGGCCAGAGGCGTGCTACGATCTCGGGTAACCAGTAAGCAGTATTCTAGTTCGCGCGCACGAAGCTCGGAGGCGGCCAAGAGGGGGGCGCCCAAGGGGGGGGGAGCAAATCATGACCGGCGGCATGTGCGCGGCCCAGCGGGGGGGCTCGGGACGCAATGAAACAAGAAGAGGCGACATGAAACCTGGGGAGATATCATGGCCCCCGCCATGACAGCCAACCCCCCCCTGGCCATTACCCCCCCTCTTTGCCGCCCCCGAAGTTCGCGCGCACGAAGCGGCCCCTCGGTGTCCTCGGACGAGAAGCACCCCGGACGGAGCCCGGGCACTGCGGGTCAGCGCTGGCGCTCCTGCTGGGCGCGGTCTTCTTCCAGGCGCCCAGGGCGCGCCAAAAGAGCACCCCGCGAGGCCCTCAGGACGGAACACGTCGGTCGGAAGGAGTAGGTAAAAACATGAAGTAGGAAGGCGGATAAAGTGCATTGGGTCCAGGCCCTCCCAGAGACTGACAAAACACAGCAAAAGCATGTCGATTCTTCAAATAGGTAGGCGCTTGAAGTAGATTGGGATCTGGGAATCCAGAAATACCTACTTTCAACGACCGGCGTGTACATGATGGCTCCAGGTCGCCAGCCGAAGGCGCCTCCGAGGCGCCCCAAGAGGCCTCCGAGAGGCGTCCAAAGAGGCCTCCCCGAGAAGGAAAGCGTGAAAACGCCCCTGAGGTTCTTCTGTTTAAGAAGATGTTGGCGTTCTCGCCTTTTCCGCCTCCTGGCGCTCCAGGACGGCCGAAGATCGCTCCCAGAGCCCTCAACAGGGCCCCAACACGGCCCAGTGGGGCCCCCAAACGGCCCAAAGGGCCACCAAGACGGCCCAAGAGGCTCCCAACACGGCTAAAAAAGCCAGCCCAGACGGGGAGACCGACCTGATATTCAGAGTTTTGGCTCTCCCCCCCCCGATGCCCCAAGAGGCACCCGAGAGGCGCTCACGAGCCAAAACGATCCCAGAGGCCCCCAAGAACAAGCCTTCAAAGAGGTCTCCAAAAGGCACCCAAAAATGCCTTCGAAAGGCAGGCCACGAGACGCCCCAAAAGGCCCACAAGAGGCCGCGAAGAGGTCCCCGTGCCCAAGAAGCCTCCCAAAGAAGTGTCTTGTCCACGACCAACCCTGAAAAGGCCAAAAGAGGCCCCCGTCAGGCCCCAGGAGGCGACAAGAATACCGCCAAGAGGCCCCCGAAAGGCCTCCCAAGAACCCCAAGAAGCCTCCCAAACCGCCGTCTTGTCCACGACTACGGTTGGCCCCAGACTGCCCCATCAGGCCATCGAGAGGCCTCCTTCTTGTCCTATCGTCCCTTCCTCCTCCTCCTCCCATCCTCCGCCTCGTCTTCCTCCTCCTCCTCGTCCTCCTCCTGCCCTTCCTGCTCCTCATCTTCCTCGTTCTCGCCACGAGCACACCAACATATAGCACAAATGATCGTCACCATCCTCACCGTCGTCCTTGTCCACCGCCTCGAATGGCCCCACAACGGACATCCACGGGCAACACACCCTGACGAAGCCTTCGTCACGAAGGCACCAGAAACCCCACAAAATGGCAAACACCTAAGAGCACAGTGAAACAACACCAAGCGCAATTCTCCTGACAACTCCCCAGACGGTCCGAACGAGTCGCCACGAACCTGCTCCAAGAGAGCTGCTTCACTACCGCATGGCGAATGCAACGCCTCAGAAAACAGCCGCCGCAAATGCAGCTCCGCACTGCCGACGACCACTCGGCCAGCTGACAGCGGTGCGCAATCAGGGCCGGCGGAATGAACGAACCGATTCAAGAACACATTGAAACTGGACAAACAATGCAACATAACACCGCAATCGTTGTCTCCGTTCCGTAAACATATTCGAAAATCTACTGACCCAAGTCATTGCAAACCCGGGTCAAACTTCGAGGATCCTGCAGAATGCTAAGCGCTGACCCGGAACAGTACAACCTGGCTCTTCAGGATCCTGCAAAGTCCGGCGCTCTGGTTGACCATTGTTCGCATTGACCCCCGTCTCAAGGCTCCCGAAAGGCACCGATACCGCTACTCCCCGACCTCTCGAGCCGCATCGCCGATGCATCGGGGATGCGGCGCGATTCTCCGACCCTATCTACGCAGACCCCATCTAGGAGGCCTGGAGGACACAGGAGGCCCCAGATTCGGCGCTGAACCCTGGTTCGGCGCCCCCACCCAGACCCTCCCCTAGGGGTCATGAAAAAATCAAGACGGGAGGTTTCTTTCTGTGTTCGGCCTCGGGGGGCCCTTTCTGGGCCTCGGGAAAATCAGAACATGACTCAGGATGAAAAGCCGGTCACAGGAAATGGGTCGAGACCTCTGGGGGCCGACATACTGAGCATCGTTTAACCGATCCCACTGATCCTTACCATCGTGGGCTGCGCCCCACTGACCGATTTACCCCGCTGGATGGGGATATAGGCTGCTCTCTTCGGGTTTCGAGGGGCATATCCCCAACTGAGGTGGTGAGACGGTGGGGCTCGAGATGTGGATTGGGAAAAGCACGACCCGTCGGGGGTCTGGGCAACACGCGGGAAGTGCTGCACGACCCGAGCGCGGCACTCTCCTCTCTGCCCTCCTCCCCGGCCGCTCTCCCTCTCTGTCGCCGGTCTCTGTGGGGCGCGGCTTCTGTTGCGAAGTGGGGGCGCCACGCTTCAGTTGGTCGTCCTGGCGACTAGAATTAAGGAGCGATCCGAACAACAATCCTCCTCCTCCTCCTCCTCCTCCTCCTCCACCCCGTCGTCGGCGCCGAGTGCCGTCGTCGTCTCGTCGTCGGCGTCTTCACGCTAGCCGGCGCCCACCTGGAGCTCCAGGGTCGTCCCCTCGTAGGCCGCGCCGCAGCGCCAGAACGACAACCTGCCGCCCGAGGGGCCGCAGACCTGGGCGGCGCGGCAGGGCCAGGCCGCCAGACTTCGGGCACAGCTCCCCGCGACGCGCGGTGATCTCCGCGCCCTCGCGCCGCCCCTCTTGCAGTCAGAAGCGCGACCGCTCCGGCCCGGGCCGCGACGCGCTGCTCGTCGCGCCCCCGGGGCCCGGGGGCGACACCGACGGACGACGGGGACCGGGGGCGAGCCGGGGCGGCAACCGGGGAGGGCAGCGGGCTTCTCCGAGGGGCTCGGGTGCTCCTGCGGCGGGCTCGCCCCGAGCCGACCTGGGCGCCGGACTCCCGGACACCGCGTGGATCGCTCCTGCCCGAAGTGCGGGGCGGGGCCGGGTCCGTGCCAACCGCCTGGGGAGCCGATGGCCTGCTGGCGGTGGATCCGGGCAGAGCACGGCCTGCAGGGTGGCCCGAGCATGTCCGTGTCCACCGCCTGCCGAGGTCTGGGAGAACTGCGCGTTCTTGAAGCCGGGTCTGGCTCAAAGACCTGCGAGTTTCTGAAGCTGGACCCAGGCGGTGGATGCGGACGAATCCCAGACTGAGATCCTCCCGTCGGGAGCGGCCAAGAGGGGGGTGTCCAAGAAGAGGGGGGGCGCAAGCCATGACCCGCGGCACGTGCGCGGCCCAGCGGGGGGGGGGGGGGGGACCCGGGAAGTCATGAAACAAGAAGAGGCGCCATGAAACCTGGGGAGATATCATGGCCCCCGCCAGGATACCCACCCCGACGCCCTGGCCATCACCCCCCTCTGTGCCGCCCCCGACCCCAACATCCCCGACGCCCTGCCGGCGGAGGCCGGCCCCCCCGCGGCCGTCAACCGTTGCTGCCCGCGCTGCCGCCGCCGCCGCGCCGCCGCGCCGCGGGCCGGATGCGGGAAAGGGCCTCCCTCGGAGGGCCGCCCCCTCGCGCTACCCGTAAGTCGGGCATGTCCCTCTACAGGAGGAACATTCAAATAATAAGTTTATATATATATATACATATATATATAACCAAATGTAGAACTAGATTTATATATATATATATTACATATATATATATATATATATATGTATGTAGACATTCTCGTATTTGTTGCACAGAATCCGCCTGTAGGAGGACATGCCCGACCTGACGCTTCCCGCTGCTGTTCTGCCAGAGGTCCGCGCAGAGCCCCTGCTCCGCTGCTGGACTCTCCGCCCCTGGCGCGCTTGGCGTGCCAGCGGCGGCGCAGGAGGAGGTCGCCGAGGCGAGCCCCGCGCCGACCCGCATCCGCGCGGACCCCCGGAAGCTCCCTGCGTGCGCCGCTGGCCGCGCCCCCGAGCTTCTTCGCGCCGCCGGCCTGGGCGGCGTGGCGCACCTCTCGGGGCGGACGACATGGAGGGGACATCGGGGGTGGACAGACCCCGATGTAGTAAAACGTGGTTGAGTGAAAACGACCTGAGGCCCAGACCTGGCGGGCGCAAGCCTGGGAAATAACGGCCGCGGCGCCCTCTCGAGAACCGAAAACGGACAATTCACTAATCGACGTGTCACTGTTGGGGGGTCTGTCCGCCCCCGAGGCCAGAAGAAGGGGGGGGGAGCGACTCGGCTTCGGGGATCTACCCCACCCCCTGACTGCCTACCAGACCACCCCAACCCGACCCGAGGACCTGAGTTTCGGGCTGGGGTGGGGTGCGGGCTGCATGCGTGGTTTGTTCGATGTTCCCCGCCCCCCCTCCACTGGGAATGGAGGGAACATCGGGGCCTTCGGGTTGGGTTGGGGTGGCTTGGTGGGCGGTCACGCCCAAGTCATTGCACCCCTGGCCCTGCAGGATCCTGCAAGATCTGGCGATCTGGCTGACCCCCGTCTGCATTGGTCCCCGTCTCGAGGCCCCCGACAGCTCACGCAGAGGGCCTATCCGGTGGCGCCGGGGCGCCGCGGCATCAAGGAAAGCACCCGGCGCCAGGAACAAGACCAGGCTGCACGCAGCAGATATCGACCCCATACCCCTTCCCAGACATGCGCCGTCGTGACTTTTCACAGCCTGGCTCCTCTCAAAAGTCTGGACACCTTCCGATCCCGGGGACCGACGTTTCATCCCGAGTCCTTGTTTGACGGTCCCGGGGCCCAGCAAGAGACCCCTGATGGGCGTGTTGTCCACCACCACCACCATAAGTTGGAGGGGGGGGTGCTCCTCCGCCTCCTCCTCCTCCTCCTCCTCCTCCTCCCCCTCCTCCTCTTCGTCCTCCTCCTCCTCGCCCTCCTCCTCCTCCTCCTTCCCCCCTCCAACTTATGGTGGTGGTGGTGGAAAACACGCTCATCAACCCCAAATACTGAAACCGGCCAAACAACCTCCGTCGTGATCTACACGACGCGAGAAGCTCTGACCTTCGGGCGCACGGAGAGATCCGGGCAGCTCCGGGACGCTCTCGGCGAGGACCGGGCTGCTGGAAAAACAAGCACCCCGAGTCTGGAGGGCTCCCTGGGGCACCCGAGAGAGACGCCCGAAGATCCACTCCCAGGAGCTCCTCCTCACGACGCGAGGACGTCAGGGCTCCCAACGAAACCCCGAGGAAAGAGAGAGAGAGAGAGAGTGAGCCCAGGAGGGACGAGAAGGGAGGGAGGAGGGGGAGAGAGGCGGAGGGGGACGGGTAGTGGAGTCAAGACGAGGCTTGGGCGAGGATAACGTCGGGTAAGTACGGATGAATCGAGAATCTCTGAGATGCGGCGGCTCGGGAGTATGTCTCAGGTGGCGCGGCCTTCTCAGAACGTTCTGGAACGCTTTGAGAGCGTTCCGGAACGCTCTGGAACGGATTTATCCTCGTCCTAGCCCCGTCTGAAGACAGGGCGGAGGGGGACGGGGAGGAGGAGCACCACTAGCAGCAGAGAAAAGACAGGAAACGTTCCCGATCCCCCTCCCCAGACAACGTCCGATGCGACGTTTTCAATCCGCGGCCCCATGCATGGGTCCCGACCCCGTCCAAGCGGATATCTTTTTGTCCCGATCGATGTTTGATGGCCCTGGCGAGGCCCGATAAAAAGGCCCCCGAGGTCGAATCAAGGAACATCTTCCAGATTAGAAAAGCCAGATGCACAACCGTGCGACGAGGCACAACTCCAAATTCTCAAATTTTCCGGGTTCCAGGCGTACCTCCCACGGCTCCAGGCGCTTCCCGCATGACCTGTTCGCAGCCGTGAGTGCCCCACAACTGGCCAAGAGGGGCCCGATGGGGCCTCTGACCTACAACCAAGGCACGGTGGCGGGACGTGCCGAAGCCCAATCAATCCGCCGCCCCCTGCTTGCAGGGGTGCACGGCGTGCTGGACGTTTCAGGTTTTGGTTTTGGTTCTTTTTCCAAAAGAACTTCCCAGTGGGCTCCGGCAGAACCCGCCGGCCACCCGGAATTTCCCCAAACGTGCTCAACGACCGCAAAAAATCCTCCAAGAACGGCCGTTTCGCTCGGGACATCCTCAAAAAATCGCGAAGATGGCCCAAGATGGCCTCCAAGTCCGCCCGAGATGGTCCAAGACGGCCTCCAAGACGGCCCAAGAGAGTCCAAGACGGCCCAAGACGGCCCAAGAGGCCCCCCAGAGGCCTCCCAGACGGCCCAAGAGGCCTCCAAGAGGTCCTCCAGGAGAGTCCGAAGAGGCCAAAATCATTGATTTTCCCTTGGTTTTTGAAGGATTTTGGCATTTGCGCCTTTTCGGCTCTCCGACGGCTCAAGACGGCCCAAGAAGCCCCCAAGATCGCCCAAGAGGCCCCCAAGAGAGCCCCATGATGGCCCAAGTGGCCTCCAAGATGGCCCCTAGAGGGCCCCAAGAGGGCCCAAGAGGCCTCCAACACGCCCAAGATGGCCTCCAAGACGCCCAAGATGGCCTCCAAGACGGCCCTGGAGCGCCCCAAGAGGGTCCCCCGTTGGCCCAGAAAGGCCCCCAAAACGGCTCCCGACGGCGTCAGACGTGCCAGGAACCCACCAAGATGGCCGAAGTTGGCTCGAAGCTGGCCCAAAAGGGCCCAAGAGGCCCCCAAGAGGGCCTCCAGGAAGGCCAAAAGATGCCAAAATCACTGATTTTCCCAAGGTTTTTGATGGATTTGGGCATTTCCCTTTTTTCGGCCTTCCGACGGCCCGAGACGGCCCAAGAGCCCCCAAAGATCGCCGAAAGATCGCCCAAGAGGCCTCCAAGACGGCGACGATGACCATCAAGACGCCCACGTGTTCCCCGAAGGCTTTCCAAACCGATTCGGGGAACACATGGTCCGATGGCTTGGCAGGTCTGGCCTCAACGTTCGGCCACATAGGCGCTTCCACAAAGGCAGGGGGCGGCGGTGATTCGCCGTAGGCGTCTTCGATCCGCCGCCCCCTGTCGATTCATCGCAGGGATGCCTGGCGTGCTGGACCCTTTCGGTTTTGGTTTTGGTTCTTTTTCGAAAAGAACTCCCGCTGGGGCTCCAGCGCGTCCCGCCGGGGTCCCGGGAAGGTGCTCAATCCGTAAAACAATCCTCCAAGATGGCTCAAGATGGCCTCCAAGATGGCCACGTTGGCCCAAGATGGCCTCCAAGATGGCCTCCAAGACGGCCCAGGAGAGGAGGAGATGCCTCCACGTCCGCCCTCCAAGACGGCCCAAGACGGCCCAAGAGGTGCCCAAGAGGCCTCGAAGACGGCCCAAGAGGCCTCCGAGAGGTCCTCTAGGAGGGCCCGAAGAGGCTAACATATTGTTAGCCGTCGGTTTTTAACACGTATTTCGTATTTGCTCCTTTTCGGCTTCCCGACGACCCACGACGGCCCAAGAGGCCCCCAAGATTTCCCCCACAGCGCCCAAGAGGCCTCCAAGATGGCCTCAGGACTGCCCAAGAGGCCCCCAAGACAAAGACGACCCAAGAGGCCTTCAAGACGCCCAAGATGGCCTCTTAGACGGCCCTGGAGCACCCCAAGAGGGCCTCAAGTCCGCCCAGACAGGCCCTCCAAAGAGCTTCCGACGGCGTCAGACGGGCCAGGAGCCCACCAAGATGGCCGACGTTGGCTCGAAGCTGGTCCAAGACGGCCTCCAAGAGGGCCTCTAGGAAGGCCAGAAAAAAGGCAAACAACAAATGATGTTCCTTATGTTTTTTTTTTAAACAGATTTTGACATTTGCGTCTTTTCGGCCTTCCGAAGGCCCGATACGGCCCAAGAGCCCCCAAAGATCGCCCAAAGATCGCCAAATATGCCTCCAGGATGGCCTCAGAACGGCCCAAGAGGCCCCCAAGACGGCCCCAAGAGGCCCCCAAGACGGCCCAAGAGGCTGTTGAGACGCCCAAGATGGCCTCCAAGACGGCCCTGGGGCATTCCAAGAGTGCCGCAAGTCGGCTCAGAGAGGCCCCCCAAAGGGCTTCCGACGGGCCAGGGGCCTACCGAGACTGCCGAAGATTGCACTAATATGACCCAAGGTGGCCCAAGAGGCCTCCAAGAGGGCCTCCAGAAGGCCCGAAAAGGGCAAAATCATTGATTTCCCATGAGTTGGTTGAAGGATTATGGCATCTTGTTTCTGCCTTCCGACGGCCCGAGACGGCCCAAGTGCCCCTAAAGATCGCCCGAGAGGCCCAAGACGGCCCCAAGAAGCCCCCAAGACGGCCCAAGAGGCCTCCAAGACGCTAAAGATGGCCTCCAAGACGGCCCAAGAGCCCTCCAAGACGTCCTCCAAGAAGGCCCGAACGGGTCAAAGAGGCCTCCAGGCGGCCACGATGACCTTCAAGATGCCCACGTGTTCCCCGAAGGCTTTCCAAACCGATTCGGGGAACACATGGTCCAATAGCTTGGGAGTCTGGCCTCAACGTTCGGCCACATAGGCGCTTCCAAAAAGGCAGGGGGCCGCGGTGGCTCGCCGCCAGCGTCTTCGATCGTCGAAACTTCAAATGAACCGCAACAAGCAGACCCGTCGGTCGGAAGAAGTGGGCAGAAGCGGGAAGCCGGGAGGCGCTGGAAGCTGATTGGGCCTCAGCCCACCCCCTGAGGAGGAAGACAGAGGTGAAACCACTCGACCATTGAAGTAGGAAGGCGCCTGAATAGAATGGGATCCGAAAGTCCCACCAGCCCTCTGGGCGTCGGTGGTTTAGAGCGTTTCCTCTTCCACCCCTCCTTCTTCCCCTTCGGGGAGGGGTTTACTCCTCCCCCTACCCCTCCCCTGGACCTGGACGGGGGGGTCCGCGGGTCGTTGGGGCGTCCAAGATGGCCTCGGCGAGGAAGCCAAAATCATTGATTGTACTAAGGTTTTGGCCCCATTTTGGCCTCCTGGGGGGGCAACGCTAATTCCCACCCCCCCTTCTTTGATAGATCTCCTCCAAGATGACCCCAAGAAGCGCCCAGGAGGCTCCGAAAGGTCCCGAGATGGCCCCAAGATGGCCCCAAGAGGCCCCCTGGAGGCCCCCAAGAGACCCCCAAGAGGCCCCAAGAGACCCCCAAGAGGCCCCAAGAGGCTCCCCGAGATACGCAAGAGGCCCCCATGGCCGCCAAGAGGCCCCAAAGACGGCCCAAGAGGCTCCCAAGCTCGCCATTGTCCTCCTCCTCCTCCTCCTCCTCCTCCTCCTCCTCTTTTTCTTCCTCCTCCCTCCTCCCCCTCCCTCCTCCTCCCCTCCTCCTCCTCCTCCTCCTCCTCCTCTCTCCTCCTCTCCTCCTCCTCCATCTCCTCCTCCTCATCTTCCTCCTCCTCCTCCTCCTCCCCTCCCCCCCTCCTCCTCCTGCTCCTCCTCCTGCTCCTCCTCTTCATCCTCCTACTCCGGCGACGACGACGACTCCTCCATCCTCCCCCTCTTGGGGTATATATGGCGGCTTACCCCGCATTTGTTCTTCTGCATGCTCCCCCGCTTCCCTCATCACCTCCACTCCCCTGGGGCTCATTTCTGGACGGGCTAGTGGGGATACGCGAAGCGTTTAGAATAAAAAAAACACACACACCTACTTTCAACGACCGGCGTGTGAGCATAGAATATTGGAGCTCCGCGCGGATCGCCTGGATCGGCGCCGACCCCCCTCCCCGGCGCGCCAGGGACGGCGGCGCCGCCCGGAGGGGGGCCCGATCCAAGAAACCCGCGCGGGGCTCCAACAGTATATGCTTATTCGGCTCCTCTTCTTCGAGATGTGTGAACTCTACCGATTCCCCGAATCGCTATCGCTCGGACGCCCATTCCCCGTGCACTTTTCGCCTGCGTGCGCGCAGCTCTCCCCGCAGGGGTACCCGAAAGGCTCCTCAGTGGTCCTCGCCGAGAGAGATGTGCACGTCCGAGCGATGCCAAACACAAGGTGCCCCTGGCCCAAGGTTCCCCCAGCTTCCCGTTCCATTTGACAGCCCCTGGGGCCCTCTGGGCCTACTGAGGGGTACTCTGGAGGCCGTGGGGGCCTCCTTGAAAATCATGGGTGCACCTTGAGCCAGGGGCACTTCCGGCAACACCCGACCCTCCTTCATCGAGGCGCGCTGACCCGAGTCAGCCCCAAACCGGGCCAGTCGGACCTTGCAGGATCCATCAGGACCCTGCACGATCCTGCAGGATCCTGCACCCTGGCCCGGGTCAATGCGCCCCCGGCCCTCCCAAGATCCTGCAAGAGCCGACGCTCTGGCTGACCCCCCTTTGCACTCACCCCACTCTCGGCGGCGCGAGCGCGGGGGGGAAGTGTGCAGGAGAAGGCCTTCTCAGAAGGCTCGCAAGTCTCTCGGCCTTCTGAGAAGTTTTCTGAGCCTTCCCCGAAGACACAAACATCCTCTCAGGAGGCCTGCCGCCTTCTGGGAAGGACTTCTTTGAAGGGGAACTGGGACACACAAATAAATACACACAAATAAAAGGATTCCCCATATTTTCTCATATTTTCTGGGCTTCTGTCTTCCCCCCCACTTCCCATATTTTCCCATATTTTCTGGGAATCGACGAATAATTGTGTCTGTGTGTTTTTTTCCCCTCCTGATTCTTCTTCTCACTTCCCCCCCCTCGCTCGCCGCCGACACTGTCAAGGCTCCCGACTTCAGTCCGACCCCGGCACCTCCGGGCTCCACAGCGCCCAGCCGGCCCCGCGGGGCGCTCCGCCGCAGGGCTCGAGGCGCACCTCCCCCCACGGCACGGGTGCGAAGCTCAGGGCGCGGCGGACCTTGCGGGGAGCAGCGCTGCGAGGGGCCCCGGGCGGCGGACACGCTGCCCGTGCAGCGGGGGCCAGTCCACGGGAAAACCTCCCACAAGGAACAGCCCTGAGACCCCAGGACGTCCATTGACTTTTGGTGTGGGAACGTCGCGCTTTCCACGTGCAAGACCTGATTCGGAACCCAAGAAACCCAGGGCACAGTGGAGGCAAGCGTAATGTCTCTTGGCATGGGTTTCCACTGTATCCGCGCCCTCGCGGTCTGGGATCCAGACCGCGCCCTCGCGGTCGTTTTTGCCGCTTTCGCCTCTAGGCGGAGGTTAACCCCCGTTCTCGGCCTCTATACAGGCCCTCGCCCGGACCCCTGGGGGGGGGGGCTGCGGGCGGCGGCAGTGTCCCGTACCTTGCCATCGCTCGAACGTGCATTCCCCGCGCATGTTCGGTGATTGTTTTGCAAGATAATTAAGGGTGCTCCTCGATGATCCTAGCCGAGAGAGAGAGAGAGAGAGAGAGAGAGAGAGAGAGAGAGACAAAACGCACACGTCCGAGCGATGCCAAAGTCTCCGCGCCCTCGCGGTCTGGATCCTGGGGCGCGCTCCCGCGGGGATGCGCGGCCGCACGGATACGCTCCGCGGGGCTTCCGCGAACAAGAACCGTCGCGGACCAGGGGCCTGGCCCGCGAGGCCGCGGATTCGGATGCTTTTCGCCCTTGCGGGGGGGTGGGAGCTGGCTCGGGGGGGAAACATCGAGCTGGAATCGGCGACACACTGCGGATGGATCGGCCACAGGCCCCCGATACGGGATCCTCACGCTCCCGGGCGGGTTGGGGCTGTCGGGCCCCGAACGGCGATGAGTGGACAATTGGAGGCCTCCTGCAAGGGGCCGGCCGAGCAAATGGGATCGGAGGATCGCGCCGCATCGCCACTGCACCGCCGATGCATCCTTGACGTCGGGGATGCATCTGCGCCGTCGGCGCGGAGAGCACCGGGCTGCACATCGAACTGCATCGCCGACGTATCGCCGCCGATCTGGCGCGATCCTCCGACCCTATCTGCTAGGACCCCATCTGAAGAGTGCTGAAGCGACTGGGGATCGATGGCCCCCCCCCGTGAGGCTGTACCCTCCCGACCTGGCCGCCTGGTCTTCTGGTCACTGCTCGGCTGTCTGGCGGACGTTCGGGACGACCCCAGCGCCCCCGGAACGCTCTCCGCGAGGCGCGGCCGCTGAAAGGGAACCCCGGGGATCGAAGCCCTCGCAGCGAGCAGTGGGCGACTGGGGGTAGATGCGTCCCTCCTCCTGCCTACCTACCAGACCACCCTAACCCAACCCGAAGACCCGAATCTGACCCGAATTTCGGATTAGGGGGGTACGGGTTCCACGTGTATGTGCAGTGTTCCCCGCCCCCCCCCGCTGGAAATGGATGGCAACTTGAAGCCTTCGGGTTGGGTTGGGGTGGTTTGGTGGGCGGTGACCTCCTGAGCCTATTCCCCCCTTGCGTTGCCCCCTGGGAGGAGGAGGAGGAGGAGGAGGACGAGGAGGAGGAGGAGGAGGGAGGAGGGAGGAGGGAGGAGG